ATTAGACAACCGTGTGTGAGATACCTAGTTATTTCTATTATTATAAATAAATATTTTTTTTACCACATTCTGTACACACACACACACAGCCTGTACTATGGGTACTAAACAACTGATATATAATACATACATATTATACATAGAAACACCCAGACTAAATCAAACATTAAATGTTCATGCACACAAATGTTTGACTTAAGCGGGAATCGAACCCGCGACCTTAAGTATAGCAGTCCGTTACACACACAGCACTACGCCATCCGGTCGTCAAGATCTCAAACAGGACAACAGTGGCGAAAGCGGAGTTATTAGAAAAGATAAGTCGAAAGTAGGTATTATTAACTATGTTAAGATTAAAAATTCTATTTTATCGTTGATAATAAATAACATTGATGTGGAAAAAAATAAATCAACATAACAAAAATACAAAACAAAACCCAAACATCCGGTTTTCGAAGACTTCAAAAGCCATTAAAGTATATTATGACATAAGAAAAATTAAGCAACCATGTACACGGCTTTAAAACAAAACAGTTGTGCTCTATGGAGCGAGGTCGCGCGTAACATAAGGAGAAAGTTCCTCAAACCGTTCAAGAACTTATACGTACAAAGCAAATATTAAAGTTGGGAGGAACTGAGGTGTGGTGCGAGTGATAGCGAGAATATAAGAACCTTACAGTATGATGTCGCGTATAATGAAGTGTACCATCGTCTCACCTACCAAATGACCACAACTCGAGCACCGCGTGCGTTCATTGGTCCAATCACATATAATCATACATATTGGTTACATATTTTCGTTCCTTCTCACGAAATCTCACCAAAAGATTGTAGAAAAACGAGAAAACATGGAAGATATAAAAACACGCATTCTTTGTTTAGGGCACCTAGTACAGTGAGTAGTATTTCACATCAAATCGAGTTGATGTTTAATAAACTCGCACTGGGTCATCAGAGGGTGACCGCGTTTGGTGCTGTGATTGGTGAAGAGTTCAGCGCAAGCCAATCACAACACCGAACGCGGTCACCGTGCCGATCGAATAGAAGTGAAATAAATTCCCACTTGGCCCTCTGATATCCCAGTGTGAGTTTATTACACAGTCGCTCTCAACGGTGAGCGCGTTTAGCGAACTCTTCACCAATCACAACGTCGAATCATCGGTCACTGTGACGACAACTGTGTAAAACAAAGTTACAGTACGCCCTCTGATGATGAGAGAGATTAAATCACATTTACAAATCAACAAATAATTAACCATTGTTCTATTTACTTGATGTGTCAGATAAAGAAAATATGCTGAACCTTTATAATTAGTATGCTGTGCAAAAGTCTACAATCATGATTGTGGTATTTAATTAAAAATACTAGAGATCACAGCAGTGTAATCAAATAACAAATAGTTGAAATGATGTGCCTTTTAAATTCTATAAAACATTGGAAACCTTCATTCCTTAATAAATAAGCTATTCAGTTTTATAGCCAAGTTTATTACGTTTGAAAGCAGTAATATTACCTCTATAAAATACTATTAACTTTTACGATAAGACAGTGGATTTGCACAATAAGAATAACCCTGTTAGCACACACATACATTATACTAGCATAACTTTCTTCTTTCCTAGTGTATCTGCAAATACTTAGGTATTTAGACGGGCCTGTTGGTCTATAGTTAAACCGCCGTAAGCTTGGCCTTCCTGATGGTTTGCGAGACGAGGGGCGGGTGATGCGCTCGGCTATACATGACACGATGTACTAGCTCGATATCTTTAGATTTATTTGTTTGAGATTTAATCTACACACGATGTAATAAAAATCGAATTTATTTCCATATATTATAAAGTCAGTGTATTGTAAGTTTTTATGATTAATTGTAAAATTTAATACTGTAAAATAACGTCAATCACTGCCGGCGGACAGCGACGCACTAGCTAATTGGTTGAATGCACCCCCGCCCCGCGTCCCCCAAACCATCAGGAGGGCCAAGCTTACGGCGGTTTAACTATAGTAATTGGTGACCCTGACCGCTAAGCCGGAGGTCGTGGGTTAATTTCCTATTTTAATTCCTAATTCATCTATAATATGTATGTATTTAGAAAAATATATGTATGTTTATCAGCAGTCTGGTTATCATAGTACAGGCTTTGCCTAGTTTGAGATCAGACTGTGTGAGATGTGTAAGGTTATTATTATCTAATCTGTACACTGTACATATAAAATATGAAAGTATTATAATATTAATACATAGAGTCGGTACCAAACTATTACAAAAATCTTTGAATGGCGCCACACCCCGCCAAGATTACACACCACATCACGCCACTAACTAAAGGTCGGACATATGATTAAATAAAATGAGCGTACGTGTCTAAATAGGGCGCGATGTTTAGGTATATCGTCTCAAATATGTTATGTAAGATTGTGATGATTCATTATGTAATGTTATATTTTTATTTTTAACGCTGTCTATAATCACAGGTTATACACCCATAACTGTATGCGGGCAGTTACAACACTTAAAAAAAACACATATGCGCCCTAACAAAACCCACATATACGCAGGCCCTCATAAACACACATATACCTACACAGGCCCTTACAAACCCACATAAACGTAGGTACTTACAAACATACATAATATATATACATATAAGCCTTCATAAACCTGTATACGTATACGCATGACCTCAAAAACGCACATATACGAAGGCCCTCAAATACGTACACGTGCCAAATCACGCACACATACACAACCACGCATATTACGTGAGGTTTTGCCGTGCTGTTAGTTACATACAGCCCCCCCAGCCCCCACAGGCGGCCACAAAACCAGGAAATACAGTTAACTAACCTTTCTTAATGTTTGTTTGTGTGCGATAAGGATCTAGATTTCATTCAAAGATATGAATATACGGGTAAATAAAAACATAATGACACACTGTCTAACCAATAAACAAGAAGGTCTCTGTGTATGTTCAAAGAAAGGTCATCCACTTACGACTTCAATTTGATCTGTCGTAACTTTTCAAATTATTTGTCAGACTTTTAAATAATTTATGTATTTAGATCTCAATCTCTCTGTTTGCGCTAGCAAAATTTAAATTATTCGAGGGATTGATTTACTCAATCCCGTTTCATATCCGAAATTTGGGGTATCTCTTACCCTAACTGTATCGCCTTATCATTTTCGTTACCTTGATTGAAATGCGAAGATAACTGCCATAATAAGAAACAGCCAAAACTCCAAGTAAAATACGGGAATAAGTAGAAAGATGATAAAGAAATCTGGAGTGATAGCGTCAGAAAGTAGCGCGCCAAAAAGAAAAAAAACTTATTTTATAGATAGTTCAACTAACTAAAACATCTAATATGGTATAGATAGTTCAACTCAGTTGTGCGCGCGGCCCTATGTGTTCGTGGGCTTGTAAATATACAACTTTCATTCGTGTGGCAGTCGTTGTCCGACTGCCGCGTCACTATCTATACCATATTAGATGTTTTAGTTACTTATATAGCCACGTGTTTTATAATATATTTACACATATTTACACGTTTTACTTCATCGTTAACACTATGTCATCAAGCAGTGTGATTCTAGGTATTATAAGTGGTACCTAACAGTCACAAACATAATCGGACTAAATTGTTTGTATGGAAATATTAAAAACGTGTTTTGCATAACTTAAGGTTTGAGGACAAAATGTCAAGGAGTGTTTTTAAATAGCTAGTTTTAGCCCGCGGTGTATGGTTATCGCGTCCTTCCTCAAGAATCAAACTATCTCCATAACAAATTTCATCGGAATCGATTCAGCGGTTATTGATTGCCCTCACAAACTTCTACCCTCCTCTTTACCCGCTTTAAGGATGATTTCTGGGGTAAAAACTATCCTACGTCTTTTCCCGAGACTCAAACTATCTCCATACCAAATTTTATCTAAATCGGTTCAGCGGTTTAAGCGTAGACGTAACAGACAAACAGACAGATACACTTTCGTATTTAAATTACATTAGTATGGATTTAATACAGGGTGTGGAAGAGAAAACTGGTCAAATACGAGCGTTATGTGTAGGTGAAAACTGCTGAATTAGCTTGAAAAAACGAACAAGATTTTTTTTATGTTTTTCACCCCGCCGCAAACCCCCGTTTTGGTGACGACCCGAAGGGGTTTCCACACGTAAAAAAAAATTATGTAGCCGCGGGCAACAGCTAGTCCAAACATTTATAAATGTTACGTTGGTTTGTGCTCGATTCAAAAACTCAAAAAGTTCTGCACCGAAGGTGCTATCAAATATTCACACGTTATGCGAGTACAACAAGGATGTTTATTTTTTTTATTTTTTGCAACCACAATGCCACAGAGAAGCATGGCAGATTACAGCTAGTATTGTCTAGATTTTAACTTTCTACACTTCTTTTTATACGACTTAAGGATATCCACCGGAATAGGGTAGTTATCTATGGTAAAAACAAATTGTTTAAAGGTCTCCATGAAAGTAATTGCAACATGTCAAAAGTTGTGTTAATTAGTTTTCCAATTCCTCATTATTTTGTTAATTGCTAAATCACATACAGCTACTAAATCATTTGTCAATAGCGAACCATAACGTCAGAACTCAGTATTTCAAACTTCTACAGAACGCGCTGTTTTATTAATTATTGTTTTCTAAAAGACAACGCCCGCACTAGGAATATATCCTGTGTCGCGGGGGACTTTACAAACATAAATAAACGGACACAAAGCACACCCAGACTCAGAACGACAATTTTTGGATCACACAAAGTGTCGTTCTATGTGGGGATCGAACCCACAACACTCAGCGTAATAGAAAGCGGCGTGGCGACCGCTTAAACTACTACGCCATCCGCGCAGTCGTTTACTATTTAAATTGATTTGACTTAACAATCAAATATCGTATATCTAGGAATTATAGTACACTGGAGTACTGTTAATCATTATTTTTCGTTGTTTTAATGAATGAGATCAAAAAAATGTACACCTACCTCATATCAGGTGAGAAGTCTACCGAACACGCATAACCAGCTACCATATGTCCACTGAAGGTCTTCTTCCTGTTCATCTTGAACCTGTTGAGGGCACTGAACACGATCACTTTGTTGTCCATCGACTGGCAGGCGAGCCACTTGCCGTTCGGAGACACTGTCACGGCAGGCAATGAATGCATGGATGGGTCGGCTATGTACTTCATATCTACTGGTATATCCCTGGTGAAATATATATTAATTAGTATATAATAAAAAAACCAACTTCTGTGGAAGAGACATGCTTCAGTCTGTATAGTAATAATAACAACCCCTATTCATCCTGTGGGTGTCGTAAGAGCCGACTAAGGGAGCGCACTACGCAGGGCAAGAGCACTGCAAAGAGAAGGACAACTTGACACAAACCCTACTTATATAAATAATAATATTAACTTCACACATCTCACACACGACCGTCTGATTCTAAACTAGGTAGAGCCTGTGCTATGGTAACCAGACTACTGATAAACATACTTATATATATCTAAATATATACATATTGTATATAAATTACACCCAAACACAGAACAAATAATCATGCTCATCACACAGATATTTGTCCTGGATGGGAATCGAACCCACGAACTCTGGCTTAGCAGTCAGGGTCACTAACCACTAGACCAACGGGCCAGTCAAGTCACGTATAGGCTGGTTGGACCGTGATACCACGACCTCAAAGAAAATAGGCTTTCCCAAAATTTAAGAAGACAACTTCCCGCACTAGAAAATATTCCTGTGTGGCGGGGGTCTTTATAAACACACAGAAAACGAACACAAAGAACACCCAGACTTAGAACAACAATTTGTGGATCACACAAAGTGTTGTCCCATGTGGGGTCGAACCCACAAAACTCAGTGCAGTGTTAAGCGGCGAGGTGACCACTTAAACCACTACGCCATCCGTGCAGGCAATAAAATGATCTAAGTGGGGTATAAAGGGAGGTGTAAAGTTTTCCACTTATTGTTTGTCCTGGGTCAAATTTTAAATTTATTACGTTAATACTATATTTTATATGATTCGCCACAAAGTAAATAATGTTTATTCATGGTGACATTGCGACCTTAAAGCGTTTATAAGATATGCGTGTTTAAAAAAAAATGCTATGTCATGTCTACAATTATTATCTACTTATAAAAATCAATATAAGTCATTAAAATTAAAGTGTCTGTTTGTCATGTCATAATAACAAAGTTTTACAAGTTGTATTTAAATTTTACACGGTACTTTTTGCTTATATGCCATTAGAAAAACAATTAGGATTCTGCATAAAATATAAACAGATAGGCACAGCTAGTGTTAAATGAGCAAAGATCCACACAATTTAGCTTCTTCCATTAGAATAAAGGTGAACTAATTTGGATTTTTCATTCACACCGATCCGAAGAAGAGTAACAGTACAAAGATTTCTTTCTTTTATTTCTTTTTCTTTTAAGTTTCTTTTTCTTTCTTTTTGTCATGAAGCAGTGTGTAGCAGTGCGTAGCTGTTTTTACTATAAGGGTAAACGGTGCATGTACTCAATACTTAATATATTTATTGCATTCCACAATGTTTACTTAGATGGTACTCAAATATATGATCAGATCATCATGGACCCTGTCAGGCATAGCAATAGATGAGAGAGGGAGAGATAATACAAACTAACAATAATAATCTTACTTCAGTTTTTTATGTACATGCTTAATTTATTGATTGCTCAGATATTCATTGACGCTGTAATAGCATTTTTGTAGTAATAATTGTTTTAATTTATTTAAATATATATTTAATATGGTTTCATTTCTATTTTCTTCGGGTAATTTATTGTAAATTATGATAGACACTACTTGAGTGCTATTTGAATGAATTTGGAGTTGGGATGAGGGTAGGTTTAGTCTAGTTCTATGGCGTAGTGTGTAGTTTTATTGTTTATTCCCTTTTTTTGTAAACAGATGGTGATTTTTTCGTACAAATTTACATATTTCCAAATTATAAATTGATGGCAGTGTTGGAATGTTGTGTTCGCTAAAGTATGGTTTACAGCTATCGGTGTCCTCTATATTGACCAGAATTCTAATTAGTTTTTTTGAAGTGTGAAGAGTGTTGGAGCACCTGTGCTGTTACCCCATAATATGATGCCGTAACTAAACCAGGAATAAGCGTATGCGTAATAAGTGGTGAGAGCTGTTTGAAGGTCGGTGGTCTTTTTAACTTCGCGTAAGGCATATGTGAACTTAGAGATTTTAGATCTTAATTTCGTTATGTGAGATTTCCAATTGATGTGTGTGTCAATTCACAGGCCTAATAGGGTAAATTCGGGGACTACTTCTATTTTTGAACTATTATATGTAAAATTTATATCTAATGGGGATTTTTGATAAGGGTGGAAGGACATAATTTTAGTTTTGGAAAAAAATATTTCGTGGTTATGGTTTTTCATCCAATTTACGGTTTTGTCTAATGTTTTGGTTAAGTTTTTGTCTAAATTGGTAATATTCTGGCACGAGGTATATTTCCATCAAAAGATTTATTTTATTTGAACAAAAGGGAAGCATGCATTCCCGCCAACAAGCTGTGTAGGCCGGGGAGGAACTTATGTATGTAAATATTTATTTTTTATGAATTAACTAGCTGACCCGGCAAACGTTGTTTTGCCATATACATCATTTCGAATAATTTCGTCAAAAAAAGGAAAAAAATTGGGTATGAAAAATAGATGTTGGCCGATTATCAGACCTACCCGATATGCACACAAAATTTCACGAAAATCGGTCGAGCCGTTTCGGAGGAGTTCAACTTCTAACACCGTGACACGAGCATTTTATATATTAGAATATTAAAAAAAAACAAATATGGCAGGTCAAATATCTTCCTTTTTCATAAGATTATTCTTAATTATTACCTCTACTGGAATTCTTATCATAATAAAATTTGACTCACCATTCCCAAACTCTAAGACTTTTATCATCAGAGGTGGTGACGAATCGCCTGTTCTCGTCTACGAAGGTGATGGTGTTCACGGCGCCCAAGTGTCGGTCGTACTCTTGAACTATTTCACCGCTTCGGATGTCCCACTAAGAAAAAAAAAGTAAAATATTTAATCTATGATGTTAAGGGGCTCGTGGCTAAGTGGTAACCAGACTGCAGGGATGGCGTAGTGGTTTAAGCAGTCGCCACGCCGCTTCCTACTACGCCGAGTGTTGTGGGTTCAAACCCCACATGGGACGACACTTTGTGTGATCCAAAAAATGACGTTCTGAGTCTGGGTGTTCTTTGTGTCCGTCCCCCGCGACACAGGATATATTCCTAATGCGGGAGTTGTCTTAAAAAAAAGAAGTAGACATGGCAAAGTAAAGCAATCCTAGCCGGGTCAGTCTATGGATGGGTGGCCATTCTTAACACGCCTCGGAAAGCACGTTAAGTCGTCGGTCCCGGTTGACATACGAATATCTGTGGCAATCGTTACGGATGGTTGGACCCCTAAAAAGTTCCACAATAATCTTTCTACAGAACTTCGATATCGCCTAGTACTTGGATTGTGGAGGTCTGATAGCGGTCGCTCCACGTAAAAAGACGAAGTTCAATCTATCTCCGTGCCAAACTTTATCCAAATTCGTTGAGCCGTTTTTGCATATCATCAAATAGTTAGTGTTCATTGGTATTTTATTATTAAAAATTTAATGTATGTTTATATTTTATTATACTTACACAAATGATCTTCTTATCGGAGGTGCCGGCCACGAAGAGGTTCTGCTTGTCCTCGTCGGGGTTGAACTTGGCGCAGTACGGCACCTTCCGGGACGTGAACCTCGATATGCAGTCGCCCGTCTCCGTGTCCCAGAGCTTTATGTAACGGTCGTAGGCTGAGGACGAATAGATAAAAAAATCTGGGTTCTATATTAGTAAAAAAGAATCTTAATATCTTAATAAGAGAGAATCTATTTAAAATCTTCTCAATATTATTGCCTCATGACAGCGTAAATTGAACCGTGTTATGCCAAGATTCAATTTACAAACTTCTTAAATTAATAATGACAGTTATCTGTTTCTATATTGCAAAGAATATACTGATGATTCACGTCGACAGTATTTAATAGTAGTATGGACACAGGCCTCTCTTTAGAAAGGAGGATTTGGCCTACTATACCACGGTGGCCAGACGGGTTGGTATAGGGTTTGTGTCAAGTTTACCACCACTGCGACTGCAGTGAGGACTCGGCCCAGCACACGCTGGCGGTGTGCCCCGCATGGGCGGCGCAGCGCCGGGCCCTCACTGCAGTCATCGGAGTGGATCTCTCGCTACCGGCCGTAGTACGCTCCATGGCCGGTAGCGACAGTTGTTTTACCGCGGTCGCAACCTTCTGCGAGGTAGTAATCTCGCGGAAGGAGGCGGCGGAGAGGGCCCGGGAGGACGACCTCCACTCGGACCCGATCCGCCGCCGGCGAACCGGGCGGCGGAGGCCCGGCTATCACAGCCTCATGCCGCCCTGAGTGTGGCCGCGGGTGGACGGGGTGGGTTTCCCCTCCACCCGCATTAGTTTGGCCAGCCGCGAGGGGGCGGCGTCCGCGTGTGCCGGACGTCCGAGTCCGACACACCACCCCGCCGCAAACCCCGGAGGGGTGACGGTCCGAGGGGATTTCCACACGTTAAAAAAAAAAAAAAGGGTTTGTGTCAAGTTTTCCTTCTCTCTGCAGTGATGTTGTTCTGAGTAGTTTTTCTGAAATGATTGCAGGTTTTTGTTTTAATTAGAATAGAATAGAATACCAGTTTATTGATTTCAGCATTACAGCACTTTTGTAGAAATATACAGAAAAACTATAATACCGAAAGCAAAAGGTCTAAGCGTCACGGACTTTACATGGAGCTGTAAGCAAGCGCTGGTTTTCAGCTTAAACCCTTGACTCCCGTTTACAAGAAAAATAGTAAAATGTTTTATCAAATAAAAGGAGTTGTTTTAGGAAGATTATAATTGCAGATCATTTTTGTATTCCAACTATGGCCAATTTGAATATTGGCACACTTCCTCATAACAGTATAATTGATTTTCGCTAATAATTTAATAATGTGTGTGACTGTGAGATTTATTGTTAGATTATTATTACAAGACTATGATCCCATAAAAAAATAGGCGAGCGAATAAGCTTCTTCAATCATTCTTTCATTTTGACGGGCCCGTTGGTCTAGTGGTTGGTGGCCCTGACTGCTAAGCCAGAGGTCATGGGTTCGATTCCCACCCAGGACAAATATTGTGTGATGAGCACGGTTATTTGTTCTGTGTCTGGGTGTAATTTATCTATAATACGTATGTATTTAAAAATATATAAGTATGTTTATCAGCAGTCTGGTTACCATACACAGGCTATGCCTAGTTTGGGATAGTGATGTGCCGGATCGTTAACAAAGTATATCCGCGGATACGGATCCGAATACGGATATTTGGTGTCAAGATCCGCGGATACGGATCTTAAGTTTCGTACTCAATCGGAGCCAGTGACCTTAATAGTTGTCGCCACTTGACGCTTTGCCGTTGATATTTAAATATTTCATTATTTTAATAAGCTAATACAAAGATGTTTGATTGATCTCATTATAAAGATAGCTCTTTCAGTACCTACGAACTGCCTAGTTGATTTAGTGTAGTACGATAAATGATTGCAATACAAAGGTGCCAAATATTTGTTTTAAGAAATAAAAAGTAATCTGAACAGACTTCAATAGTTTTCATAGCTACCTAATAACCATTATTCAGGGTTATTTTAAATTTACTGAAAACCTCTGAAGTGCATATTAGTGACATTATAAACAACAACTTTTCTTCTGGACTAACACCGAAAACGAAAGAAAAAAAATTGTTTCTCCATACAAACTAACAACATTTGATTGGTTATTTGAATGGAGGACCATTTTTTTTTATTTTGACGTTGGCCAGAAAAAAAGTTGCTGTTTATAGTGTTACAAACATATACCTAAGAGTTTTACAGTGAATACAAAATCACCTTTATAGAATTTCATCTATGTAATATGTATTGAAAGATCCGCCAAAAAAGTCACGGATACGGATACCGTTACGGATCTCTCTTCTCCCTTGGATATCCGCGGATACGGATACGGATACGGATATCCAGCACATCACTAGTTTGGGATCAGACGGCCGTGTGAGATGTGTTAAGTTATTATTATTATATTATTCTAACAATTGTCACTATTTCCAAAATATATTTTTTCGCTATTTGTTTTCGGATTCAAATTAAGATTTATTTAATGCGTAACATAAACAGTACAGAGCATTAAGGGCGTTAGGACAATGCATAGTCATTATGTTCTAACAAATTTGCATGCAAAAGAGTCAAAATCTAGCCCATAACATGCAAACATAACAATTTATTGAATATGGTTTTATCAGACTCATGAAGTTGCAACCAAAATGTCACCAATACATTTACTTAATGTTAGTATATGATCAGTATTCCTTTACAGAATCACATCACATCACACATCAGCAGCCTTTAATAGCCCACTGCTGGACATAGGCCTCTCCTTAGAAAGGAGGTTTTGGCCTACTATACCACGCTGGCCAGACGGGTTGGTATAGGGTTTATTTGTCGGGCCCCCCCCTTACGGAGACTCTCCAGCCCAGCTTCCTGCGAGAAGTGGTTGAGGGCCTTTTCCCGCAACGAGCGGAACACACTCCCCCGGCGATGGCCTCCTTGGCCGGAGACGACGGGGAGCACGGGGAGGAAAATGTTCCGCCCGTCCGGGATTCGGAGGTAGGGGCGGCTGTTCTACGGATCCGTTCCAAGAACACCGCCCCTGGGCCAGACGGGGTACCGGCCCGAGTGCTGGCCCTGGCCCTCAACCACTTGGCAGACCGCCTCGGGGAGGTGTTCGACGCTAGCTTGGCGTCGGGACGCTTCCCTGAGTGCTGGAAGAGCGGGAAGCTGGTCCTATTGAGGAAGCCGGGACGGCCTGCCGATTCGGTCGCGGCCTATAGGCCCATCGTGCTGCTGGACGAGGCGGGCAAATTGTTTGAGAGGGTTCTTTCTGCCCGCATCGTCCGGCACCTCTGCGAGGTGGGCCCCGATCTGTCGGACGCCCAATTTGGTTTTCGGGCGGGGCGTTCGACAGTCGACGCTGTGTTGCGCCTGAGGGCCGTGACCGAAGAGGCCGTGAGCTGTGGCGGCGTGCTGTTGGCGGTGTCATTGGACATCGCCAACGCATTCAATAGTCTGCCATTCAGCTGCATCAGGGAAGCACTCCACTATCATGGGGTGCCAAAGTACCTGAGGCGGCTGGTGGCAGCCTATTTAGAGGAGCGTACCGTCGTGTACGAGGACCGAGAAGGTAATTTGAGGAGTCGGCCCATGTCGTGCGGTGTGCCACAGGGGTCTGTTCTTGGACCCCTCTTGTGGAACATGGGGTACGACTGGGCCCTTCGCGCCGATTTCCCCCCCGGGCTGGGTGTAATCTGTTACGCAGACGATACCCTCGTGACAGCCCGGGGGGCAAACTTCCAAGAGGCGGCGCGCCTGGCCACAGGGGGAGTCTCCCTGGTGGTCGGGCGCATTGAGGCGCTGGGCTTACGGGTGGCCCCAGATAAGACGGAGGCCCTGTTATTCCATGGGCCCCGTCGTGGTCCACCCCCTGGCGCCTCCATTGTGGTCAACTCGGTCCTCGTACCGGTTCGGGCCCAGATGAAATATCTGGGCCTGATCCTCGACGGGAGGTGGCTCTTCGACGAGCACTTCCGACAGCTTGCTCCAAAGCTGGTCGGCGCTGCGTCTGCCCTAGGGCGACTCTTGCCCAATATGGGTGGACCCAGCGTCGCGACAAGACGGCTGTACACGGGGGTTGTCCGGTCAATGGCACTGTACGGTGCACCGGTGTGGGCGGCGGCTCTGACCGCCCAGAATAGGGTACGCCTCTGGCGCCCTCAGAGGGTAATGGCGGTCAGAGCCATACGCGGTTACCGCACCGTTTCGACGGAGGTGGCATGCGCATTGGCCGGAACTCCCCCGTGGGATTTGGAGGCGGAAGTGCTCGCCGAAGTTTATCGGCGAGTGGCTGACTTCCGGGCGGAAGGCGGATTTCGCCCTCCGCCCGAGGATGTGCGCGAGTGGCGCGAAGCCGCTCGCCGAGCCACGATGGCTCGTTGGTCGTTCCGGCTGGAGACTCCACGCGCTGGCTTCGCCGCCGTGGAGGCTCTCCAGCCGGTCATCGCCGAGTGGGCAGGGCGGCAGCACGGGACCCTTTCCTTCCGACTGACGCAGGTGCTTTCCGGGCACGGTTGCTTCGGAAAGTACCTGCACACGGTCGCTAGGAGGGAACTGAGTCCCGCCTGCCACCACTGCGACTGCAGTGAGGACTCGGCCCAGCACACGCTGGCGGTGTGCCCCGCATGGGCGGCGCAGCGCCGGGCCCTCACTGCAGTCATCGGAGTGGATCTCTCGCTACCGGCCGTAGTACGCTCCATGGCCGGTAGCGACAGTTGTTTTACCGCGGTCGCAACCTTCTGCGAGGTAGTAATCTCGCGGAAGGAGGCGGCGGAGAGGGCCCGGGAGGACGACCTCCACTCGGACCCGATCCGCCGCCGGCGAACCGGGCGGCGGAGGCCCGGCTATCACAGCCTCATGCCGCCCTGAGTGTGGCCGCGGGTGGACGGGGTGGGTTTCCCCTCCACCCGCATTAGTTGGCCAGCCGCGAGGGGGCGGCGTCCGCGTGTGCCGGACGTCGCCTAAAGAGAGGGAAAATATATCGAGACGCAGCCCGCACCAGGAGCGGGCTGGCGCTAGGAGGGGTCCGGATGTCTTAACAACAGCTGTTCCCGGATCCCTCCTGTTACAGGCGCAGAGTGGCACACCGTGTGGTTTTAGTCGGTCCGAGTCCGACACACCACCCCGCCGCAAACCCCGGAGGGGTGACGGTCCGAGGGGATTTCCACACGTTAAAAAAAAAAAAAAAAAAAAAGGGTTTATTTCAAGTTTTCCTTCTCTTTCAGTGTTGTCTTGCGTAGTTTTCTCCCTTAGTGGACTTTTACGACACCCACGGGATAAATAGGGGTGGTGACATTCCGTATTTTTAACTTACGGCCTTTACAGAACAGTATGCCTTATTATGCCTCGGTGGTGCAGTGGTAGCGTATGCGACTGCTGTTCTGAGGTCTCGGGTTCGAGTCCCGGGTCGGACCTAATGCTAGTATGATTTGCAAATATTTGTTTCGGAGGGTGTTTTCTATGTATGTTTTAAGAAAAAAATATAAGTATTCTATCAGTCAATCTAGTTTTCATAGTACAAGCTCTGTTTAGTTTGAAACTAGATGGCGTTGTGTGTAAGTTGTCCGAAATATTATTATTTACTAGCAATGTTTTCAGTTGGTTTTGAGATATTATGTTTAAAATATCGGATTCTAATACCAATATTGGTAATTTATTATATACCCTTATAAGTTTGGTTTACCTTTTTATTTTAGTAATTTATTTAACATACCCTTTTATGTTATTTTAGGATGAGTTTTGACAAACCTGCGGATAGGAACTGTTTCCCGCTATTGTTGAAATTGACATCTCTAACAGCTTGTCTATGCCCGAAGTACGTTCTTATGCAGCGCCGATCGCCGTAAACCTCCCAAATCTGAAAAAAAAAATGGAACTTATAACAACTATACTAACCCCATAGTGGATTCCACCCTTTATAACAAGGTCCACGAGAACTGTAAACTGTGGAATAATACCCCTCTTTCGAAAACAACTACAAGTTTAATAAAATTTTGCACATGCATTGTAATTTTATTAATATAATAATATATTCTACCATATACACACAACGCCATTTATTCCCAAACTAAGCAGAGCTTGTACTATGGGTACTAGACAACTGATATAAATACATATATACTTTTTTTTTGTAAATACATACATATTATACATAGAAACACCCAGACCAAATCAAACATCAAATGTTCATGCACACAAATGTTTGACTTGAGCGGGAATCGAACCCGCGACCTTTGGAATAGCAGTCCGTTACACAAACCACTACGCCATCCAGTCATGACGTCACATTCTCTCTTCTCATACTCGGTCATCACGTCACGCCAATATTACAATAAAAAAATAGCACTTTTAAAAACATAAAATAAAGCACATCAAATAAAACATAAAACAAAGGTATTAATTCTGTTTTACCATTACTAAGTTTTTTACTGACTTGCTTGCGACAATTGTATCGAAAAAAATAATTAAAAGATTTGCGTTAATTATTAAAAATATTAGTTATCACTAACTATATGTTAATAATTTGAAAACATAACATTCAATCACATCATCACACATCACATCAAGAGCGTTTAATAGTCCACTGCTGTACATAGGCCTCTCTTTAGAAAGGAGGTTTTGGCCTACTATACCATTCTGGACAGACGGGTTGGTATAGGGTTTGTGTCAAGTTATCCCTCTCTTTGTAGTGCTGTTGTCCTGCGTAGTTTGCTCCCTTAGTCGGCTCTTACGACACCCACGGGAAGAATAGAGGAATCCGTCACCACACGGAGAGTTTAATAACACAATAAAATAAAATACTCTATTGTTTGGTAAAAATCTGTAAGTTTTAGACGTGCGCGACATGTGGAACTACTTATTAAGTTTATTGTTCATTATGGCCACCATCTGACGGACTGTCTCTCCTCTCTGTCACACAGATAATTGCGGCAGAGATGGGGAAGAGAGATGATAGAAGAAATAATGTGTACCTTGACTCGACAGTCCATCCCAGCGGAGAGCATGAGGTGAGCCGTGCCGGGGAACCAGCGCACCGCGGCCACGCCCTTCGTGTGACCCTTCCACGTGAAGATGTGAGCCTGCAAACGTATCAGACACAAATAGCACATAAATTAGATATTTTTATTAATTACTATTTTATGCACGCGGCTCCGCCCGCTTTTCTGTCGGTCATCACGGTAAAATGTAGTCTATGTTACTCCCTGATAATGTCGCATTCCATTGGTAAAATCATTTCTTAAATCTGTCTAGTTATTTAGGCGTTAAAGTGTAACAAACATACTCACTTACACAATTATAATTTAAAGTATCGAAGTATGGATATATTTATGGAGGCATGCGCTTTTCGTTTCTTCAGCACAAAGGCAGGATCCTCCAACCAGGCGTGGTCATCATGCCTGGCCGGCCACGGTCCAATGAATAATGTTGACATCTTGTATATATCCTAATCGGCGTGACAACTTTCATATCGCGATACAGGATTAACAGTCATTTTGTATTACGGTGTGTCTTCGTTTAGATAGCATTAACTTACAATCAAACATACTTTATAGGTATGTCTTTGTAAGTTAATTAAACTTGAAATTAAACATATTTTAGGCAGGACTTTTATTTTTTAATTTTAAACGGGGGCAAACGAGCAGACGGGTCACCTGATGGTAAGCAACTACCGCCGCCCATGGACACCAGCTACTCAAAAGTCATAAGTGGAGTCCCTCCCGCTCGAGTCACCGGGAGGGGGGATTTGGACTCCGGTAACCTCACTCACTCAGTGAAAGGCAACGAAAGAATTGCTTAACACCGGTTTTCTGTGAGGCCGTGATATCACTCCGGTCGAGCCGGCCCCGATAAGGTATTATATTATTAAATTAATAAATTAATAAAATGTTGTAGTGTTGCCAATCAGAAACAGATATCTGTTGATAGACACGCAATATGTACAAAACGTTTACAATATATCACACTAATATTAAAAAGGCGAAAGTTAGTGAGTATGTGTATTTTTTATGTTTGTTACTTGTTCATGCTCTAACGGCTCGACCAATCTTGATGAAATTTGGAATGGAGATAGCTTACACCTTGCATTAAGACATAGGCTTTTTATTCCACAACAAAATATAATGTTCCCGTGGGATGAGTAAGAAATTGATATAAATTTTTGTTAAGACGTGGGTAACACCGCGGGGCGCAGCTAGTTAGTAGTTTTACGCAGCAGTTTTTTAAATGAAGGTTTTTTGGAATAATAATTATAATAATATAATACCTTAGGTAAGAAGCACTTGTCAGGCGGCGTGTCGCTCCGCAGCTGCGTCTCGGAACGCGGCGCCTCCACCCAGGACCGTCCCTGGTAGTCCGTGGCCGCGTCGACTGCAACCACAAAACAAGCTATGTAAGGACTGAACTGTCGCCAAATGAAGGAACTTCTTCGAATAGTTACCTAAAGAAGAAAACTAGAAGCGATCTTACATGTAAAATCAAAAAAAAAACACAATACCGGGTTCGAAACCTGACCCGTACACTACCGACGTGAACTACTCCTAACACAAGCAATTTAGCTTAGCTGTAGGGATTAACGGGAATACTAGTAATTTCGGTTGCTAGTAAGCCTTGCAAAAACACACACACACAAAACCGCACGACACACACACAACACACTCATATACACAATACTCACACATAGTACACTAACACGCATTAGATTCATTCATTCACAACTTCCTACACAAGACACAGTTCAAAAATTGTTAATGCATGCTATCTTCATCTATAGAAATAAATAAAATTGAAGTGTCTGTTTGTAATGTCAAAATAATAGGGGTTTTTCTCACTCACACAGTTATTTGCACGATACCTATGCCTAAAAACCAATTACAAAAAATGTTGGGGGTCTGTCGGTTTGTTCCGGCTAATCTTCTAAACCGACCCATTTTGATAATATTTTACAACCAGGTATTTGTCTATATAAGGTGTAACTTGGGCTATTATTCCTCTTAGAAAAACCTTTGCCCTTTCAACCTTCAAGCTTTCAAATGCCAGGCGAACGAAGTCGTGGATACCAGCTAGGTTTGTATAAATGAGTCCTACTGAACATCGCTTTTATTCGAAAGCCGCAATAACTTTAAACCGCAATATATTATACAGCACTTACTGTGGAATATTGATTTCTCTTCTAATGGCTTGTCATCATCAACCTTGCCCTTCTTCTGTCGTTTGGCAACTATTTCAGCCAATTCTTTCGCCTCTTCACCTTCAGGTCGCATCACCCTGGAAGTATTAACACTTTTCCATTAGAGCCAAATATTTAAATAAAGTAGTCAAGAGGAAAAATAGGTTTTCAACAAAAAGATCTAATGTAAAGATGTCAATTACAGCCAACAATGTTAAGTGGAATCCTAATTAATCTCCGGTCTGTCATCAAAAAGGAAATCATATCATACGACGGCCTCAGAAAACCGGTGTTAAGCAATTCTTTCGTTGCCTTTCACTGAGTGAGTGAGGTTACCGGAGTATAAATCCCCCTCCCGCTGACTCGAGCAGGAGGGACTCCAAGGGCAGCAACGCACTTGTGACTTTTGAGTTTCAGGTGTCCATGGGCAGCGGTAGTTGCTTACCATCAGGTGACCCGTCTGCTCGTTTCCCCTTTTATACCATAAAAAAAAGCTTTTCTAGAAGGTAATCTAATTGCCGTCTAGTGGCTAGTCTCCTAATTAACCAACGTGTTGTACTTGTAAAAATATCATTTAATTAAATAGATCATACCTCTGTTCACCCTCAAATCCACCCCAAGGCCCCAAGAACCCAGTTACGTCTTCAGGATTGTCATTTCTATTTCTTTTCTTTTTGTCAAGCGGCCTCTTCTTTATTGTCTCAAATACAGACTTGCCATCTGCCTCTTCTGGGGCGGCAACCATTGTTGATACTGAAAATAAAATACATATGTCATTATAACTACATATGATACTACTACCCTATCTGTAGAAAAAACAAAATTAAGTAGGTACAAGTAAAATATATTTTTTTCCCACATGTTTGATATTATTTATAGAGCAGATGTTTTTAAAAAAAAAATAGTATGAACAGGATCACAGATGCTACTTGATGTAGCAGTCCTGATGACCTCCTGATACAACTATAGGCCTTAGTACCCTAGCCTTAGTTCTGTTTACCTATCCAACTTTTAGTATCCCTTAACCTAGCTCCCTCGCTCTATTAATTTCCTTTTCATTTACCTTCTTCTTTTGTCTTCAAGTCTGAAAATGGTTACAGTACTTGCTGTATGTAGACAAAACACAAAACTCAACACTCATATTATGAGTGGTGACGGAGTAATAATATGGATTGTCAACACACCTATTCATCACGTGGCTGTCGTAAGAGCTGTTTAGAAGGCATACTATGCAGCACATCAGCAGTGTACTATTAAAGGCTGTTAATGTTGATGACGATGTAAGGCAAAACAAAATGTTAAAAAAGTCATTTTGTGACCATTATTATTATTTGGTTATTTTTCTGAATAGAGACAGTTTAACTAAGCACAAAAATTGGTTAATTTTTACACACATGATGTAGGATTTGAATATTAGGGTCCAACAGTTCCAAAACTTTCATTGTGCAATGTACGATGTTTAACCAAATATGGAATTTTCTGGTATACTCACCAATAATAGCATCACCACTCCCCGTATCACCATCTGTAGAAGGATCCATGGCATACCCATAACTTGTAAATGTTCTTCTTTGATTTTCAAACTGAAAATCACTTATATGTGCCTTCTCTACAAAACCGGATAATATATTTCTATTTGCCCTCATCTGTTGCGTTTGAAACGGGTTGTCTGGTCCATATGTGGGTGCAAATAGTTCTTCATATTTAGGATTGTGCATTAATTCTTCATTATTTCGTATCAGTATTCTTGTGTCATCACTATTCTGTAATAAAAACAATCTTAAATTAAAAAAAGATAATATTTTACACTTCATTTATGTGTCTCTAGCATTAATTTAGTCTATGAATCGTGTGTACCAGTGTTATACATTCGTGTGTCAGATGTTAAAGTCACACTAGGTATGTAAATTTAAAGAGAAATATCCATCGGTAAGACTGTGTAATCACAGTCTGTATCTGTGGCAACAAACACCTAAGTCTTCTTCAGCTTAGGCGCTTTAATAATATTACAGCAATTGAAGTCAGCACATGGTAATAAATACAGAATCATAGCAATGTTTATCGTAAAGAGGGTGATAATTTAGCTAGCAGACTTATAGATGTGACTAGCAATGTATGTAAGTGTCAAAAATTCAAACTTACCGTAGGCATAACAACTGGTGCAGCGCATATTTGCATTGATTTAGCAACAGAAAAGTTTTTATCTACAGGTTTTAAGTGAGCCAACAGCTTCTCATTACTGTGTTCACTTACAACCTCTTTATCATTATCACCTTCATCTTCGGAGCTACTTCCGTAGTTTTGTATATTCAACATGATATCTTTCTTTTATATACCACTTATTCCAATGAAATGCACCATAACACAAAATAAATAACAAATAAACACAGCAAAACTTATTAAGAGTGTCTTTTCACGATTCCAACCATTGACAGAGAGGGATATTCGTATATACTAGACAAAGAAAAAACTAAGATAATGTCCACTGTCTATAGTTCATTTGGATTTGGAACGCAACTATGGGTGACAGCTAAAGTTACGTTCAGAAAACGGAGTTATAAAAATCACATCACCAGTAACGCTATCGAGAATTTCCGAGAAATATAAAATAAAACCTACTTGTCAAAACTAAGAAGGAATCTAAAAAAAAACTTTCATCACAAGCAAGGCTGCCAATCGCACGTCAAAAATCTTTAAGTCAGGTGACGAGCCCGTGTGATAGCACATAATTTTGAAATAAACATAAGTAAGAAAAACACAAAAAAATATGGCTTTACACGCGGCAGTAAAGGGTAAATTGATCAGTGTCATCGGAGATGAGGTGAGTAAATAATTTTACGCTAAATTTATCCTTCAAATTATTCTCAAAGTTTGCTCCTCTACTTTGGTCAATTCCCGAATAATTATGATCTCAGTAATCTCAAATGAACCTTCTCTGGATTCCAGGACACATGTGTTGGCTTCTTATTGGGTGGGATTGGTGAAATCAACAAGAACAGACACCCCAATTTCATGGTTGTTGACAAAAGTAAGTCCTTAGATTGTGTTAAATGATTCTATTACGCATATTCATCGTCTACAAAGTTTAAAAAAAATATCTTATATATATACCAAACTAAATTAAAAATTCATTCATTTTTCAACCAATGAAAAAAATCCATAATATGTTCCTGTAAATGTATATTTTTGAGTTGAAGAATTTGTGAAATACCTGTTTTGTTTACTCTAACAGTAACAGTCTATCTATATACTTCATTTGTTTTTTACTGTAAAATGGGTGAAATCTAATGAACAAATCTAGTAAATGAATCTTTAAACAAGCAAATCTTGTATAAATATATATAATATCTGAATCTCAGAAACGGCTTTAACAATTTTCATGAAATTTGGTATGCAGGGGGTTTCGGGGTGATTAATCGATCTAGCTAGGTTTCATTTTTTGAAAATTTACCTAAAAAAAAAAACGAGCAAAGCTCGGTCATCCAGGTACTATTGTTTTATAAAAGAAATTACATCATTTTATAAGTAAGAAAAGTGTTCCTACAACCTCTAAATTGTGTTTAAACTGATGCATATCATTTAAAATGGTGACACAATAATAATTTTATATTGTAGTAGTGATAGATATTGGGACTTCTTACAAGCACCTCAGCAATCTTTCCCTTATAAATAATTAAATGTATAACATGGCACTTGAAAGTTTAAATTTAGGGTGCTTCTGTAGTTGGTGCACAAGTTACTTGCTGATTGTGGGTTCTGGGTTGTGCTTATTTCAGATTTGAAACAGTTCATTACCAGGGTGTAAGTAGCGCGATCAAGTAATCACGTTAAAATTAAAACTGTTACCTCAAAAAAAAAATATAAGTAATTAATAGTAAGATTACCTCATTGGTGACTTCATTGATACTTGCTCGAATTACTGGACCTGCTTAGTCCTTTTCATAAAACACATAACCTGTACATGTGCGTCAACATGCGCAAGCTACTTGCATCATGTAGAAGCACCCTTAATTGTATATTTGCATGTTGCATGTCAGCTGTGTAAAAGAAAGTAGACATTTATCTATGGATATGTTTCAATAATGATTCAGAATTTATCAAAAATGTGTGTTAAGATTCTGGTGAATATATTGAGGCCTAACAGTATAAATGTGTCAAAGCATTGTCCTACTATTTAGTTTGTATTTACAATTATGTATTCCTGTAAAATTAATTCATTTCTTTCATTTGTAACTAACTGTGTAAAAACTAATCTTGGAAGTTAATTTTAACTTTAAACAGCCTTTAATAGTCCACTGCTGGACATAGGCCTCTCCTGAGAAAGGAGGTTTTGGCTTATTATACCACGCTGGCCAAACGGGTTGGTATAGAGTTTGTGACAAGTTTTCCTTCTCTTTGCAGTGCTGTGGTCCTGCATAGTTTGCTCCCTTAGTCAGCTCTAACAACACCTACAGGATGAATAGGGGTGGTGACACTGTATTCTTAATCCTACACCACATGGACAAATTTAACCTACTTCTGATTTTTGTATTGTGATGAAACATTGGCTTTTGGGTGTTTTCTATGAAATTACAAAAAAAAAGTATATAATATATTCTAAGTTCTAGTTCTTACTATATTCTAGCAGTCAATCTAGATATCATAGTACAAGCTCTGCCTAGTTTAAAACTATAATTTAGTGTTGTTATCCAAAGTACATAATACATGGAGCTAGAAGATAGAGGTTGAAAATCTACTGCGACTACTGGGCTACTGAAACTCTTCTGATGCTACCAGTTCATTTTGACTGGTCTGGCAGATTGAGCTTGGTAATAATGGCGTGATGATGAAGCCAACAAGGTTGACTATTTAATTTTACGTTAGATTTACTATTCAAAGATGTTTTTAGTTTCATAAAACTAAAATAATATTGTAATTAAAATGCACTTTTGTCGTTTTATTTTTTATTTAGTTTCATGTTTACACATATTTAAATTTAAACGACATAGGTGTAGATAATCACAACTGATAGTACTTGTTTTGATGACCTTAAAGCAGATTAAGAGAAAGGCATTTAAATATTTTGTAAAAATACAATAAATCAATCATTTTATCTCTTCAATGTCAAAATGTCTCATGCATCACTTCAATCCACTCGCCTCGGACTTGATGACACAAATGTAGTCAAGCGATTTTAAAAGTAATCCACCCACATACTTACCATAGACACTGATGTGGCTACACAATAATAATGAAAACCTTCCAATTCACCTCATTATAGCCCAGCTGGATTGCAGATAACAAGAAAAAAAATCTCAAGTCCACCAATTTGACTTCACGGATGACCTAGTTGCTTAAGTAGTACTCCCGCTGCTGCCTACTGCGCTGACTGTTGTGGTTTCGATCCTCACATGGGACAACACTGTGTGAACAAAGTTTTGTTGTTGTTGAAGTTTTTCTGCGTCTGGGTGTCTTATTATTACGATTTCTATGGTTTCAATGAAGGTTTATGAACGCGATGCCCTCGCGACACAGGATATACTTTTATTGCGATTTATAACAAACTACCCCAAAATCTCAGAGAAACCCTTTAAATTGTTTAGTGTATGCCTAAAAAATGGCTAACGGAAAAATGCTTCTACACTGTTAATTATATTTTTAGAGCCTAAACGTGTTTATTCAATATATTATTATTCTTTCTTTTATCTTAATCTTTACTGTATGTCCAAAACGGGCAGATTTGATGTTACCATAATATTCTGTACCTACAACAACTGTATAATATGTATATCAATCAAAACATTAAAGATTACTTTAGTTTGCGATAGTTGTCTTTTTCAAAAGAAATAAATTGTGTTCTGAAAAGCTTGATCCAATACATCATCTATAAAACCTTTACATCCTATTGTGAATAGAATTTAACTATAATTTAAATATAGTAAATATTGTTATTTGAGCTGTATATGTAACAATACAAAAAAATAAAAGCATCTTTCTGCGTTATTTATGAAGAGTATGAATATGAATTATTTATGAGTATGAATTTATTTTTCTCTCAATACATTGTAGCATAAACATAAATCAATGTCATTCGATGTAAATCCAACAAATGGCGCTATTCTCAATATTTATTATTGTTATTTCTTTTTAGGACTATTTGTAATATGTTGTATATTAAAATAGGCTAATGTTATTTCAGATACCCCAGTAAGCGAAATCGAAGATTGCTTCAAGCGGTTCGTCAAGCGCGATGACATTGACATCATTCTAATCAACCAGAACGTGGCTGAGTTGATCCGACATGTGATTGACGCTCACTCGGCGCCGGTGCCCGCCGTACTTGAGATCCCCTCCAAAGACCATCCTTACGACGCAAGCAAGGATTCCATTTTACGTCGGGCCAAGGTAAACATTTATTTTTTACAGGTTTAACTTTAAAAAAAAGGTTCTGCCTGCAGTTTCGCTTCCGTTGAATTTAATTTTCTAAGCTCTGGAGAGGTTTTTTTCCGCTATGGTATTTTCTGTAAAACTGACAACGTGGTTGCAAAATTTCAATGTGCTTAAAAAGCCCCTGATTGAAGGAAAAAGCTACTGTCACAAATCTAATGATCAATAAAGAAAATCCACCAAAATCGTATTAGGTAACTCATTTTAGTTAAAGAATATATACAGGGTTTTCCAACAAGAGGTGTTATTTTGAATCACCCGGTATTTCGGTAGCTGTCACTTTTAAAGCTTTTATTTTTTGACATTTGATAAGTAGAAACTACGCCCTTACTAAAAATGGAACGATACACACTTCAACAACGCATTGAAATTATTAAAATTCACTACAAAAATGGTGAAAATCTTGCAGTCACAGTTCGCAAAACTAAAGCATTTTTTGGTCGTCGTGAAGCACCTTGTCGGACCGCAATACAGAAATTGGTGGAAAAATTCGAGCTGTTGGGACAAGTTGGTGATGTGAAGAATAAAACCCGTGCACGTCGCTCAAGAACAACAGAGAATATTGCTGATGTAGCCCAAAGTGTTGAAGAAAACGCAGGTTTGTCCATTCCTCGTCTTTCTCTGGAATTGGGCATTCCACAAACGTCATTACACCGTATTTTGCATAAAGACTTGGGTCTTAAGGCTTATAAAGTTCAGTTAACACAAGAACTCAAGCCGGCCGATCATCGACAACGTCGTGTCTTTGCTGATTGGGTACTTGAAATGCATGAAAATGATCCGGAATTCCATCGAAAAATCATCTTGACTGATGAGGCCCATTTCCACCTAGGAGGAGGCTACGTCAATAAGCAAAATTGTCGCATCTGCTGCTCGGGGGATGAAGTTGCTCGCGTCCGTAGGATTTACCATCTTACCTAACCCGCCCTACACGTGTCCCCCGGGTGGTGCTAAACGAGCAACAACGCCGAGTATCGAGCGGTGGTTAATAAACTCGACTCGACCAATCAAAGGCAGGAAATGGCCTTTGAACTCACGAACATCTTGGGGCTTGGCTTAAATGTCTGGCCCTCGAGGAAGAAAACCTCGCAACACATAATTAAATAAATAACCCCAATCCTAAGGTGGGAAACGTGCCGAGAGGATGTATGACTGGAGGGAAACCAGTTTCTAGCGCCAACTTCAGTGGAACGGGCAACCACTGTTGTATTTGCCTTCTCCTGGGAATAGGCGTCACCCCAGGTAGTGACTGTTATATCGTCCTTACTCGTGGGAATTGAAATGAATAAACAATTTAACTCTACAACAAACAACGAAAAAACCAATATTACTAACAATAAAACTCTAACACAACAAATCTTCCACAAAGGAATGTTTGAGTCTAGACCCAGAACACTATCACTTGGTGATTACCCAAATAATAACCTCAGAACGCAAGACATAGCCGCCAGTCCCAGTGGAAGCAACGAAGCTAATTGGTCACAAGTCTCTGGAAAAAAGAGGCCTAATTCAAGTCCAGAAAAGAATGGACACCAAAAACAAACAAAAATGGATACATACTGGCTGTCTCAGAATCCACCAATACCTACAACGAACAGATTTGCTGGCTTAGAAGCTGATAACTCTGAGGGAGAGAAAACTACTGTTACTGAAAAGACAAATAAGCCCCCACCAATATTTGTTGACAAAGTGGGAAATATCCAACCCCTTCTTAAGATTCTTAATGAACACGCCCTTAATATGTATAACCTTAAAGTAATTAACAACGACCAAGTTAAAATACAGCCAAAAGACCCAGAGACATACAGGACTATTGTACACGAACTAGAACTTAGAAACACAGAGTTCTACACGTTCAAACCCAAGTATGAACAGAGTTTTAAAGTGGTCCTCAAAAACATGCATCCCTCAACCGAACCTGAGGAAATCAAAGCAGCGTTAGAAGAAATAGGACATTGCAGTACCAATATATGGAACATCAAACAAAGAATAACAAAGAAGCCACTGCCATTGTTTATAGTTGAATTAAAAACAAGCCCAAACAACAAGAGCATATATGAGGTTAAAAATCTCATGAACTGCATCATAACTTTTGAACCTCCTCGACCTAAACGTGAATTACCACAGTGTGCCAAATGCCAGCAGTATGGGCACACCAAAAAGTACTGTCGCCGGAGCCCTAAATGTATTAAATGTGCTGGTGACCATCTCTCTATAGAATGTTCAAGGAAAACCAGATCGGACAGTGTAAAATGTGTCCTCTGTGACGGAAATCACCCGGCAAATTATAAAGGTTGTAAAATCTACAGAGAGCTTCAAAATCTTAAATTTCCAAAAGCACCAGAACGCAGAAACACCTATGTTCGCATCAAGGACGTCACAACCGAAAAACAAAAATCTAAGGATAAAGAACCTCTAAATAGCCAATACAAGTCATACACAGAAGCACTAACTAATAAAAATCTTCAGAACAATACAACAATAGAGACAATTGACACTAACCAAAATGACATGCTTGAGTTAATGAACCTCATGAAACAAATGATGCAGCAACTGACCACCATAACAAACCTAATATTAACTCTCACAACCAAGCTGTCAAATTCGATTGCTTAAAAATTGCCCTATGGAATGCCAATGGGCTGTCACAACATACCCTTGAGGTTCAGGCATACTTAGAAACACAAAAGATAGATATCCTCTTAGTTACGGAAACACATTTTACCAAAAAGAGCCACTTTACCATCCAGAACTATAAAACCTATCATACAATACACCCCGACGGCAAAGCACACGCTGGAAGTGCAGTTCTAATAAGACATAATATCAAACATCATGAAACAGTACATTACTGCACAGATGAAATTCAAGCAACAAATGTCGTCATTGAAGACTGGGCGGGACCTTTTACAATCTCGGCTGTATACAGTCCACCTAAACATAAACTTAAGTTAGAAGACTACATAACGTTTCTGTCGACATTGGGCCACAGATTCATAGCTGGAGGTGATTACAATGCCAAACACCACTACTGGGGCTCACGTACTATAACTACAAAAGGAAGGCAGCTATTAATGGCCATTGAGAAACTAAAACTAAATATTATTTCCTCCGGATATCCTACATACTGGCCTACAGACTTGAATAAAGTACCAGACTTGCTTGACTTCTTTATTACAAAGGGCATTCCTAACAACTTTATAACAAGTAAAACGAGCATCGAACTATCCTCCGATCATTCCCCGGTAGAAATAGTACTAAAAAGGAAAATTACAGTAGTACCTAAACCCTGTAAGTTACACTCTAATAAAACTAACTGGGAGCTCTTCAGACAGTTATTGACAGAAAAATTAGACTTAAAAATTCCTTTAAAAACGGACGACAACATAACAGAAGCGGTTGAACATTTCAATAACTGCGTCCAACAATCTGCCTGGTCTGCTACCCCAGTTGCCGCAGACTCATATCATAAACAAGATTACCCAACATCTGTAAGAGAATTACTAGCTGATAAACGAAAAGCTCGGAAAAAGTGGCAAACAACAGGGTATCCTACTGACAAAAAACATCTAAATTATCTTCAAACAAAACTAAAAATTCTGCTAAAAAACAATAAAAACCAAGCCATGCAAACATTTCTAGAAAACCTTGATACTACTGCAGAAACAAATTACTCTTTGTGGAAAGTCACTAAAAAGCTTAAACGCCCAGCAAGTAATCAACCTCCTATCCGTAAAAGTAACTTAGAATGGGCTGCTAGCGATGCAGACAAAGCTGCTACATTTGCTGAACATCTCAAACAGGTCTTTATACCAAATCCAGATACAGGCTCTTCTAAAGTTCAAGAAGTCACAGAATTACTGAGTCAAACCCATCAACTCGATCCTCCCATTAATAAGCTCACTTATAAAGAAGTGAAAACAGCAATCAAGGCTTTAGATCCAAAAAAAGCTCCTGGTTACGACCTTATAACAGGAAAAATTTTAAGGGAGCTGCCAAAGTCAGGGGTTAAATATCTCACTTTCCTGTATAACGCCATCCTACGAAGAGGAATGGTCCCTCCTCAATGGAAAATAGCCCAAGTTATAATGGTTCCTAAGCCTGGAAAAAATCCAGTTGAGGCGCAATCATACAGACCTATTAGCCTGTTACCCATACCCTCAAAAATCATGGAGATAGTTATTTTACTTAGATTATCTCCGATTATTGCCGCAAACAAATTACTACCTGACCATCAGTTTGGTTTTCGTCGAAAGCATGGTACTATTGAACAAGTACACAGACTAGTGGAATATATAAACAAAGCCCTTGAATCAAAACAATACAGTGTCGCAGCGTTCCTGGATATATCTCAGGCATTTGATCGAGTGTGGCATGACGGACTTCTTTTCAAAATAAAAAAAGACCTTCCTATAAACTTTTACAACCTTATAAAGTCATATCTAAGCGACAGACACTTTTTTGTAAAACAAGGAGAAGAGTTTACGTCTTTGTATGCTATCAAAGCTGGAGTTCCGCAAGGCAGCGTAATGGGTCCCACGTTGTATCTGCTTTTTACAGCTGATCTCCCTACGACCAATGGAGTAGTTACTGGAACATTTGCTGATGACACAGCAATCCTATCAATGGACAATTCACCAGATATTGCAGCACAAAAGCTTCAGAACAGTCTCGAACAAGTATCCAAATGGCTCAAAGACTGGCGAATCAAAGCCAACGAAACCAAATCTGTCCAGGTTACTTTCACAAACAGGAAAGAAACATGTCCACCCGTCACTCTCAACGGCATACTTCTACCGCAAGAGGATCACGCCAAGTATCTTGGAATATACTTAGATAGACGCCTAACCTGGAAGAAACATATTTTCACAAAACGATTAGCTATGGGCCAACAGTTGCGTACTATGTATTGGCTACTAAATAAAGAATCACGACTCTCACTTCAAAACAAACTATTGCTATATAAATGCATAATAAAACCCATATGGACATATGGCCTACAACTCTGGGGAACAGCAGCAAAGTCAAACATTGAAATAATACAGAGATTCCAGTCAAAAATACTAAGAATAATAACGAACGCACCTTGGTATGTATCAAACACTAGACTCCATCACGACCTCTGCGTCAAAACTGTTATGGAAGAAATCTCGGAAAGGACAAAAGTGTACAAGAAGCGAATCACTAACCATCCAAATATGCTGGCAGTCAATCTAATGAACACCCAAACAGTTGCTCGTAGACTAAAAAGAAAGATTCCTCAAGACCTTCTCTGAAGCACAAGAGTAAACGGAGCAGTCACTGGACGGCTTCTGTGCAAGCCCTTAGCAATAAAATCTTACACATATTGCTGAATATCTGCAGAATTGATAGATTGCAATAGAAAAAAAAAAAAAAAAAAAAAAAAAAAAAAAAAAAAAAAAAAAAAAAAATCTGCTGCTCGGAAAACCCAAGAGTTATTGTTGAGAAGCCTCTCCATCCTCAACGTGTGACTGTTTGGTGCGGTTTATGGTCCGGCGGGATCATTGGACCTTACTTTTTCGAAAATGAGGTTGGATCAACACTTACGGTGAATGGATGTGCGCTATCGAGATATGATTAATGATTTTTTATGGCCGGAGTTGGATGGTATTGATCTGGACAACGTTTACTTTCAACAAGACGGCGCTCCGTGCCACACAAGCAACGAAACCATTGCTCTTTTACGGGAAAAGTTTCCTGACCGTATTATCTCTCGAAGAGGTGATCACAATTGGCCACCGAGATCTTGTGATTTAACACCTTGCGACTTCTTCCTTTGGGGCCACGTGAAAGATAAGGTCTACGCCTCGATTCATGACCTCAAAGATGGAATTCGTGAGGCTATCGAGGACATAGGGCAGCCACTTTGCGATTTGGTTATGCAAAATTTCATTAAAAGGATATGGTCCTGTAAGCGTGGTCGTGGTAGCCATTTGGCTGATGTTATCTTCCATTATTAACGGCATACCTTCCTCTTTATTATAAAATAAACAGCTGATTATTTTCTTTGAATACTAAAATAACACCTCTTATTGGAAAACCCTTTATATATGAAATAAATAAATATAAATTTTCGAACTCACACCGTTGTACAGTTACCTGAGACTTAGCCTGCCTTTCAATTTTCACAATCAATTTATGCCTGCATCTATCTCAGTCCCTATCTCATGTATATCGTTTCAGTAGTTTTCGCGTGATTGATCCTTAAACGTTTATTATTACATTTATAACTTTACTGTAGTACATTATATTACCTAATCATATTTCCTACTGCATTCCCAAATTGTACTTGCACTAAACGCCTTAATCTCACTGTTTATAAGTGAATAAGAAAAAAGCGTACATATTATTCACCTGTGGAAGTGACTCTCTAAGTGGCAAGAGTCCATCTGTCCATCAGAAGGTCAATTGTCGTAACAAAAATTCGTTCAAAAATCAGTTCCGTTCTACTCTCGGTCTAACAAATGTCAGTGAAGGTATTCTCGTAGTAAAGTATTTAACATCCAACGTTGGCTATATTGTGATTGGATCGTATTGTGACAGAAAGTTGAATCGGTATTCTGCTAGTCTTGTTAATACTTTATTAGGAGAATACCTTTTATGAAATTTGTGAGATCGAGAATAGATAGGAACTGAACTTTAGAATTTAGATGACCGATGAAAAAATATACAATTTTTTTTTTTTAATTTAATCAAATTACTTTATTTTTGTTTCAGGGCATGTTCAACCCAGAAGACTTGGTGCGCTAAAAATAATATTTATTGCATGATACCGTTTGTTGTGCACACCGGCAATGTAAATACCGCCAAATATCGACCGCATACTAACAATATTATTAATAATCCATTTTTTCTGTGTGCAATTTCTTTTCAACTAAGGCAGTTCACTAATACATTCCATGTCCCACATTTTTTTTTATTTATTATAAATATTACTCCATTTGAAATATGAATTATAATTATGGCTGGGATTTCAATAAGCTCGCAGTTTAGAGTGTTGTTTGCATTTAATGAAAATCCAGCCTATATAATAAACCTAATATAACAGAGTATTAAATTGTATAGCATTTATTGAAATTGTATTATAGAATATAAAATTCAGTGTGTTTTATTTTTATTTTTGCTGTGTTGTGAGTGGGTTCTGATGCTTGACTAACCTACATCAAGATAATATTGGAGTGAAAATAATTGGTATTCGAAATAGTGTAAGTACTATTAATAATAATTGGCTACAGCTGTTATAAACATTGGTATTATTTGATAAAATAATGTTTGTTTTATGGATATAATATACCATAAATAATAACTGCATTTTAGTCCTAGTTTTCTTTAAGACCACTTAGGCTTAGGACCACATTAGGAATGATTTAGGTATCACCGATAGCTGTTTTTTTTTAAATGGAATAGAGTACAAACGAGCAGGGGGGCTATCACAGCTCATGAACAGCTGCAACTCAAGTCACAAGTGCGTTGACGTGATTTCAGTGAGAATTGGGCCCAGTTACCTCACTCGACAATGCAAAGAATACCAGACTCAGGACATTTGTTTGTGTATCATACAAATATTTGTCCTGTGTGGGAATCTAATGCACAATGCTTGGGTTTGTTTGTCACTATACTAGTGACAAGGTGATCACGCAGGTTATGTTATTAGTAATTTTGACGAGATTTTTTTTAAGATGCAGTAAAAACTACTCCGGACAGGCATTGACAATTTTTTCGCCTATTGACTCCTTCCTATAAGTATTATGTATAGATTAAGTGTTGTCTTACCTATATGCCTTCGACGTGCTCGTAGTGACTCACAAGGCTAGTGTTTGGACCGTATTTCAAAAATTAGGTTCTTGATATAAAACAATTATCCGTGTGGTTACGGATTATGAATACAGAGTGTTACCACCCTTATTGACCCCGTGAGGATAGGAGGTATCTTAAAAATATTGTGTACATTGTGTTATATGGTCTACCTTTATAATTAATTGGTCTGAAAACCGGTTGATGTTTTTGACTGTTCGTGACTTTTATATAATCCATAGGAAGATCCAAGGTATGGTTAAACTGAACAACAATAATCAAATAGAGAACAAGAATAAAATTATTTTTAAATATTTAGAATAGAATATGAAAAAGTGATAGTTTAAAGAACCTCACGATTTCGAATAGCGATGTAAACAATGTCCGTGTGGTGACGGATTAAGAATACGAAGTGTCACCACCCCGTTTTCATTCCATGGGTGTCGTAAGAGCCGGCTAAGGGAGCAAACTGCGCAAGATAACAGCACTGCAAAGAGAAAGACAACCTGAAACAAACTTTGTAAAGACCCGTTTGGTCAACGTGGTATACCTAGTAGGTCAAAACCTCCTTTCTGAGGAGAGGCCTACGCCCGTCAGTGAACTATTAAAGGCAATGATGACGATGATGAATTAATTATCTGTCTTATATCAAGGATAATAGAAAAAAATATTGCCTTATTTTTTTTTTTAATTTAAGGAAAATCAGTAGGTAAATTAATTTTAATAGCTTGTCATAAATACATAAATTACTACGATTAGGCTAATTTAAACATTTAATGAAGAGCATGTGGTGTATTGTATCAAGTTGCGAGCAAGTGTGTATTTCTCTGGATTCTTGGCATTGTGTCATGGCTTCCCATGCGCGTTTGTAAAAATCCATTTTATACTTTTGATAAGTTTGCTCATTACCAAAAAAACAGTGTGAAGTGTTGTAAATTATACCGTGTTGTGTTTGATACTATTGTTTTTACTAATTCGAAATCATTTGAGTGTGGTATGTGATATTTATGAACAATCATCGAGTAAGTATGATTAAATTGTTTTTTGTTTATTTCTTGTTTTTACATCATTTTTTTTTATTTTCCAGTCAATGTTCGGTGCTGAAAACTACGCCAATTAATTAAAATTACATGTTCCAGATATTATTATAATTGTTTTAGATTTCAAAGCTCATATTGTGTGTATATTGGTAGAATAAAAAGAGAAAAAGTATTTTCAAACATTTATTTTAAAGATTATTAACACACTACTTACAATAGACACTACACATACATTATAATACAGGAAACACAAACATATACATATAAAAACAAATTGGTAAAAATTACCAAATATTTGGTTTGAAAATGAGTTAAAGACCCGTAATTAAACTCAGTGTTGCTAGACCCGTAAAGTTCAGTGATTGATTAATGGAGCTCTTTTCAATATTGGAAGACTAGGATGCGTTTATTCGTCGAATTCGGCGACATCATTTTCGGCCTTCTTGTGTCCAACCCAGTCCCATTTGGAGTAGTGGAGCTTGGTCTTCTTGAATTTGGGGTTCTTGGACGTGATGCGGACGAAGATACGACGACCGAATAGTGGTTGCAGTTGCCTGAAGTTGTCCACAAGTGGCAGGTTCAGGTTGGAGAGGAGACCACGGAAGTTGTCCATCTATAAAAAGAGACCTTATTGAAGTAATCGTATCCTAGTTTGTTATAATGCAAGCAAAGAAAAGAAAGGTGAATCTGTCTTAGTTATTTTTGTTTTTTTGGGGCAAATTAATTTTCTTACCTGGAACACAGAGATTGGGAGGTAGTCGGAGAACACGACCCATGTGACGGCTTCGGCGCAAGGGGGAGTGGTAAGGGAACCCTTGTAGGTGTAGAACCTTTCAGTGTCGAGGCCGGACAGGATTGAGGACAGGGAGAAAGTGTGGGGGAGCTGCATGCTGGTGTTGTAGTTTTCGATGGCGGACAAGTTCTTCACGATGGGGGTAAGGAGCTTGGCGTCGAATTCAACAACCTGTGTAAATATATTTGATTTATTAAATGAATCTAAGAAAAGAAAACGACGGATGAAGGTATAAATATGAATTGGTTTTTTGTTGAAAGATATATTTGAAATATATTTTGAATATTTACCTGGTAGAAGAAAGCAAGCACGCAAAGACCATCGGGGTGCTGGAGAGCTTCAGCCAAGTTCCTGTATTTCTTGTTTCTGTGGATGATGTGCATCTCGAGGGGCAGACGCATATCATTGAGGGTGTGCTCGGAACCACGGTTGTTCTTGTCTCCCCAATGGAAGTGAAGACCTTCAATTTCGTACTCATTATCCAGGGGACCACCGAAGATGTATGGAAGACGGAATCCTTTCTTTTCTTCTTCGGAGCTGTATTTGGGGATGGTCAGCGCCACTGGAAGATACGGGTTTGATTAGCCAAAAGCTCACAGCTTTACCTGATTAAAGCACAATGTCAATGAGATGGTTATTTTGATAATGTGCTTCTTTGGTATTTATTACCTGAATGTCCGTTGTTAGTGGTGGTGAGAGGTCCTGGTAGGGGATTCTGATAGCCGATCAGTTCCATTGCAGGAATTGAGATCGGAATAGCTTGTCTCGCAGCAATAGCGATGGGAGATTGTTGACGGCCACCGCATGCGGGATGAAGGACTGCCCAGCGCCTCTGGTCAGAGGCACGGTAACCCCAGCCGAATGCACAGGAGACTGAAATTTTAAAGTTAATTATTACCTAATTAACCTATTGATTAATGCACTTACATCGCGGCTATATTATTTGCTTATTTTTGTATTACTCAATGATATCATTCTCATGACGAGTATCAACAACGATTCGTGTTATTAAAACAAGTTTTTATTATAATCGCTACTCTCCTTTCTACAGATGATGTTTTGATAATATGACTTATTGTGTCTGTTATCCTTCACAATCATTATTATAACTATGACATAAAATATCAACAATCGCATTTTTGAGATCTTTCTAAATAATCACGCTTACGAACAATTAAAATCTGAATAGGAGTGCTATGATTTCATGAAAGAGTACGCATTCCACTTTTAAATGGTTTCATTAGTCCTTAAAGTTGTAAATACAAGTTAAAGCCGGTGTTACCTAATAAATTATTCTAAATGCAATTGGAAGATTCCCATTCGTAGGTAACAAGCGTACATTTTTTTCTATTGGAATGTCAAATTATGCAAAACGGATCGTACATTATGTTTTTTTTTCTGCTGACTTGAATGTGCCGGACAATTAATTATTATTGTTAGGATGTCAATCAAACGGACAAATTTAAATACCCTTGCTAAACTTTATGAACGAAGTCGTCTTTTGAATGATAATGCTATCAAATGAGAACCATTTTATAAATTTGCATAATATATATTTGAGACAATGAAGGATTTATGTTTGAAAACGTTAAAAAAAACTGTTTCAATTTTCAGTTATTGGAATTCATGAGTCTGAACAAAAAATAAAAACGGCATGTGCTGGAGTAATAATAACCTAATCTACTTATAATTAGGTGAATGGTTTAATTGTAAGCAAGTAGGTACCAACAGATAGCTACTTTTCAAGTATTTTTTTAAATTATAACGTTCTACCAATAAAATTATTATTGACAGGTGCCAGTAACTTATCGAATTTAGCGTCGCTTTTTGGCGGGCTTCCAAATACCACTTTTAAATATGTGAATAATTATTGCAATATAAAAAGTTACCGAACCAGTACAAAATATCACTTGCATGTTGTAAAAAGTTATAGATAATAGATAAGTTCGTGACAGAGAGCGAATTCCGCAATATTTTATATTTTATTATTATATAGAATTATCGCGGGTAATGCATTTGAGAGAGAATTGAATATACAAATATACTTGTGGCCTTTGGATTATCTAAGTTAGATATTTTAGGTCAAGATTATAGACCTAGTCTGGTCAATGCTAGAGTTCTTAAATGACAGTTCATTTAAATATTTATGTAAATAAGTAAAATTGTGCATCTTCAATTTTTTTTATAGATGTAGCTATATGGTAACGTTGTAGTAATCGAAATATAGCGATGTCTAATAATATCAAGTTTCGTAATATACCATAACATCGTGATTTTTACGGTACATTGAATGTTAAGCAGAACTAAATCCAGTGCTATTAAATTATGGGTTTTCATTAATTTATTGAACTCGATGTAGTTATTAAACATTCATTGCATTCCTTATTATGATAAATGTCCTACATTAATTTGATATCTTTGACATTGTATCTTTTCTTTTTATTTGATGCGGTATTACTTATATGCGTTTATCCCTGCTATGAGTACTGCTATTTAATTCTACGATAAATATTGTCGATTCTCTTTTTATATTCTTTAGGTCAGTACACAAAATAATATGTGAAGGGACAGTAATTTTTCTAAATGAAAATGTCGCATTAAGTATTGAATTATTTCATTAAAGATAAAATCTGTATTATTATTTTTTTGCATCCAGAAAATATATTTATTTTACCACATTTATTTTAATTATTCTGGTATTCATTAAGTACTTATGCTAAGCATATTTATGATATACGCTCGTGATAAATCTTAATAAAATTCAAGTTGCACATATTTTATTTATTATGTGATATCAATCAAGTTATATTTTTAATTGATTAGAAACACGTAACCTATGACGATAGTTTTAAAATTACAAGTGTAGAATGCACCCAATATTATTTACGTTTAAGACAAACATTGGCCGGGCGTCGGATGTTTGTGCGATCCGGCATATCGGAGGATGATCACTGCGTTTCTCGCATGCTTCCCTTGCCCAGTGTAGATTAAATTTACGTACAAAATTTATCTATGATCATGATATTAAGTTGCAATTAACTGACCTTATTCTACTTATCTATCGTTTTTTTTTTTAATTTGCACAGATACATATCGTATTTAAACCGAACTCTACTTTGAAGATTCTAATCTAAGAAATTTTATTGATTATGAATAACTTTTGTATCATTTTCTTTTGTTTGACTATTGTAGAATTTATTACTAGGAATTTATCAAATTGATTTTAATCCAATATGACTTTTTAGACTTTAAACCGGATTTATAAAAAACTGCAAACTGAATGCGAAATTAAAGCGCTACTTTATAATTAGCTATAAAGACATTTTTTTCAATGATCTATGAATCTATGATCTTTATGATTTTTTTTAATGATTTAAAAAATATTTTTAATTATCTATGAAACACAAGATTTTTTTAGCACTAATGAATTAAATAATATTGAAATTGATTTTTGAATGAATTAACACTTGATTTTTTTTAACTTACCGTTTGTTGCCAAGATGGCGAGAACAGCTGATATAATTGAAGATCTCATTTTTTCACTTTCTTTAATTGATAAATTATTAAAATATAAGAAGAGATGATGTGTTGGACACTTCGATGCTTCCTGCCTGTCAGCCCGCAGTTTATATACTACACATCCACATATTGAGCACTGCGTTTTCAATGGTCTAACGCGTCATCGACGTGAGAATTAACCCCTCTTCTGACACATCGGCATAAAGTGCCGACTCTGCGTATTTCCCGTTGCAAAATTAATTACGTATTCCTAGTGAGATGAAATATATAAAATTTGTAATTAATTTGTAATATATGTAACATACATGTATATTTTAGGACATAGCTCAACTCACGTTCCTTTTTGTAATATTTCACATTATCTTGCGATACAGTTAAAACTTATAAATTTTCAAAATACTTATCACCAAAGCTCTACAATAATATGTCAGATTTTATAAAAGGTATTTAATGAGATAAGTAAAACAAAAATTACATAGCTTTTATTAATCAAAAATCAATTTTAAAAATGTTGTTCCAGTTAGGATATTTTGCTGCCAGGACAAGTATCCTTCTTTTATAAATCGTACTTTTCCACCGATTGTAAGTTTATAAATCATTATTCATTAAATAATGAAGGACTTAAGTTAATTTTCTGTAAATAATAGTGAACAGTACAGACTTGAAAAGGCAGCATGTGCATTGCTTGAAAACACAAACTAAATAACTATGGTGCATCGTCATTCGTCATAAGAAAACCTTAATTTTCTAACTATCTTTATTTCGTCGTTTTATTAAATCGTCTTTTATGTAGACTCTAAACTCATAGATCAATCTCTGTTTTGTCAAATAGAAAGAAAAATAAATTTAATACAAATTAACCTTATACAAAATCTATGATATGGCTGTGCCGATCTACAACCGCCCGTTTCCAAGGGGTTGAGCCTTATGAGAAGAAAGGGCAAAAAAAAACCTTATATTATGCACTTCGCGCAATTTTTGTAGTAGTAGGAACGTGAACCCACAACCTCTGGCCCAGCGGTCAGGATCACAAACCACTAGCCAAAACCCCGTCTCTACGTCATAGTTCTCCATCTTTCGTTGAAATTTGCACAATAAACAGTCTTAATTTTCTAATTACGTCTTGACCAATAGTTATGAGAAGGAAGCATTTTTCATGAAAAAGAGGAAAGATCGAACTTCCTGTTGAATCAACTATTTTATGTGATTTGCGCGTTATATGGAGTACATTTATTTATTATTATTTTTATTTTTACACTTTATGCACAAATGTGTCAAAGGCGGACTTAATGCCTTAGGCATTTTCTCCCAGTCAGCCATAGGGCGATGTAAAGCCAAAACATGGTATATGCACAAAATAAATTAAAAATGTGATTTTAAGAAAAAATATAGCACATATAGGATATCATATTAACTTCATTAGAATATTTAATATTTTTTTTTTTTTTTTAAAGACAACTCCCGCACTAGGAATAAATCCTGTGTCGCGGGGGACTTTACAAACATACATGAAACGGACACAAAGTACACCCAGACTCAGAACAACAATTTGTGGATCACACAAAGTGTTGTTGCATGTGGGGTTTGAACCCACAACACTCGGCGTAATAGAAAGCGGCGTGGCGACCGCTTTAACCACTACGCCATCCGTGCAGTCCAAAAAATCCGTGCAGTGCAAAATACATATACAATAAGTGATATTAATACTAACACATACAATACATAAGTATTTATATATTCATATGCACCTATACATACATATAATTATATTACATATATATATATATATATATATATATATATATATATATATATATATATATATATATATATATATATATATATATATATATATATATATATATTCATATAATAAATCATAGGAGTGAAAGTAAAACAAAAAGAAAATTAAGATGGATCTGATGAGGTGTTTGAAAAAGGTTTGCCGAGTTTCTGCCATCCTGATCTCGAAAATTCTCTTTGCCATTTGAAAATTACGACCTGAATGATACGTGAGAAATGAAAAACCTATAACCTACTCTGTCTAATAGTGAGGCGTTTTAACCAGTTTCAAAAAGAAAAGTTCTAAATTGAATTGATTTTCAGAAAAGGTTCTCTATCAACTACTTTTTCTATGTGTTCTGTACGATGATTTTTTTTAGTTGACAGTTAAGTTTTGTCTTCTGCGTCGGCCTAACAAAAACAAAAAATAATAAGCTTTGATCATAAAAAAGTGCAGAACAAACGAATGAAAGTTCATAACTGCATTGTTTAATGCGTAATTGAATTTTCTGTTTTGAACTTCATCACTTATCGATAAGCATTTTTCGTCCTTGACGAGACCTAACCTCTGCTTACCTCGGATAAGCTAAATATACTTTAGGAACTGCATAATGACATATAAGTGTTCAGAATATCAAACTTGGATTTAATAAGAGTTTAAGTCACGTACGAGGTACCAAAATGTGTGTAAACAAGAATAATTTAGGGATAATAAGTTGAGGTGAGGGATTTTTCAAAAAGGGACTAATAAGGTTTAACGCTCCTTGTGTTAAACTGAATGCAAACCCCAAAACTTTAACATTATGAAGACTAAGGTAATCGCTTTTGCATAGTATGAGTTATAAAGTCTCTTTTCTAAATATTGATGATGAAAATACATGAAAATTTGTTCTAGTAAAGATTGCCGTTTACAGCCGTTGAGGTCTTTTCCATTCATGCGATAGCAAATAAGTACATTGCCCAATGTTGTAATACAGATACTAGACTACGTCAATAATGCGGTTTAATCACACTACCAACCTAGTGTTTAGTAAGATGGAGGTACTTCCCCCGCGTGTCTCAAATTCGCGCACATCATATCTTCTGTGCTTAAGTTAATATCTCCTTCACCTATTTTGACCACAATCAATATAAGATGCAGGAACTCCCTTAGGTGAGCTTTACTATCGTCGGCAATTCCTCTATAATTGTCAAAACAGTATAGTATGCAGGTATTATCCTAGACCCAATTATGAGAAATACCATCGGTAAATTCATTCAGCGTTCACAGGGTTAACGATGTAAGAACACAACTGGACGAATATCTTGAACAATAGATGATAACATATCTCGATGATGTTAATTATTTGACTAGTTGTAATAATAAAGACATTGATTTGAAAAGTAAAATATAAATAAATCCCAGGAGGTATTATGTCAATACTGGAGGACAAGGTCTGTTACAGAGAACGAACTCGCGTTTGCTGGCAGTCGTAATCGTCGGTCATTTTGTGTGATATAATTTCTGATTCATAATCTGACATGTGCACATTTTGACGTATTTGCAATTTGAAGTTAAAAAATTTAAAAAAGCAATTATGATATAAAAAATTAAATGTACGTATAGAATTGTGGAAAAAAATGGATACATAAAAGTTTAAAATTTAATTTTAACTTAGATTTAAAACTTAAGCGCGTAACTTAACTGTTTTATATTAATTAAGAATCGCACTTCGAATAACAATTAACGTTCGAATTTCGGTTATTGGACCTGACACTGATGTAGTAACATGCGTCAACTCTGCATTAAGGGCACCCTCCGATCCTCTAACTGATCGGGCCTTCCCTTGATACACATGTGAGTAAAATCGTCTATCTTTAATTACATCGCATGGTTACACGGGCAATTTCAATATTATGTTACATTTTCTCATAAACCCGCTAAACGTACGTAAATGTTAATTTCGTATGGATTAGCCTTTTTTTAAGAGCGCCTATTCGAATTTTGAAATCGTTTTTTTTTCTAGTGAAACTAGATAAATCTTTTTTTTTTTAATTATCATTGATTTTATAAGGAGTGTAATTCAGCCTGCGTGTTATTATCATTTTTATTTCTTTTCTACCTATCTTAGGACGGGGAAGCTGCTATTCCCAAATTCTTTTAAAACGGTCTAGTTGTTCATTAGTCTGTTACACTGAATTCCTTCAGTCACTTTTTATTCTGTGCGGAAATCCCCTCAGACACCACCCACCGGACAACCGGTGGGGTGTTATGTCGGACTCGAACCGATTAAAAACCGCACGCCGTCTGGGGTAATAGCCAGTAGCCGGGGATCTGAATGCAAACCCCGGAAATCCCTGGTACCCCTTCGAACCCCGGGCCATCTACGGCTTGCACAGGTCCCCCTCGTGTGTGGAAACCACGATGTTCTCATTATATTCCCTAAAGGGCGCGTTCGCTCCGCAACGCGTCGCCCTGCCACCCCGGCCTGCTTCTGCTAGGGTGACAGACAGCCTCACCTGTCACCCCTGGGCGTGCACCTTTGGAGGACGGAGGTTATTCTGCGACCGCCGCCGTCTCCTTCGCGTACATAACTTGCTAGTAGGAGGAGACGGTGGTGAGTCTGGTTTGTCACTTAATGCGCAAAACTATGTGTAAACGGGTCTACTTCTCGAAAAAACGTGGTAACTTATTTGTAATGGAAGTAGTTAGCTAAATGCTGTGTATGTTTGTGATCAAGGTGGTCAGGTACAAGAGGATTTTACAATATTGTTAAAATATAAAAAGGTTGCGTTAGATTTTTACTCTAATTCATAGAACTGTGCTATTTTTTTAATTTGGTTTTAACTATTTTCATTTTAATATTTTTTATAAAAATAAGTAAATATAAAAAAAACGGAAATTTAACTTGAGCTAAGTCAATTTTTTTTAAATTTTCATAAGCTATTGTTGACATAAAAAAAACAGACGTCTTATAGTGTATTTATTTTCAGAACAATAAAAATATAGATACATTAGAAATTTCGGCATTTTTAGAAGTCCTGTAAATTCAAAATTTGTTTTTTAATATTTCTGTCCTAACCTATGTCAACGGCAGAGATTATCAGCACCAACCTTTTTTTTTCTGCGCGGTTATTCCCTCAGATACCACCCACCGGTGGGGTGGTTATGCCGGACTCGAACCGACCAGAAACCGTACGTCGTCTTGGTTACCGGGTGTACCCTATAAAGGAAATCCCTAGTACCCTGACGTA